GGGGCCTATCAGTTCACGCCATGTTGGATACACCCATCCTCAAACTGTAGATCTGAGCAGGAGGGAACCAGGAAACATGTGGACAGAGCGGAACAGCTTTGTGTGAGAGAAGAGGGAGGAGTTATCAGGCTGAGACCCAGGAAGAGGAGCGGTCTGACAGAGATACTGTATTTAACCTTTTTTAAATAATAGAGCCTAAGTTAAAATACCAGTCAGTCTCTGGATGGTGATATATTCTTCTTGGAATCTTTGGGCTTACAGATGACTCCTCACTTTTCTGAAGTAACTTTTTTGCTTATGTGAAATGTCATTTATTTAACTCAAGTAGCTGTGTCCACAGGGAATAGTCACCAGATCTTTCAGTGCATCCAGACAGATCAAGAATAACAGTTCACATAATCACAGCATAATTTGAGAATAAATGAAAAAAGTATATATTCAACTAATCAGGTCAGGCCATAAAAGTAAATAATTAGTGATCAATTAGAAAAAAGCATTTAATAAAACAGATCAGTTGTATCGGTAGCACATGAGAGGATGAAACAATGTTAACAATAAAACATTTACATTATTTGGGCAGTTCACAAGGTCAAAGATTCTTTTAAAAATGACCAGTAATTAAAAATACATCACCGTACATACTCTTTATGATAAACAACAACTTTATTTAGTTTTGCTGATTAGACATTAATACACTCCACCCATATGTGATTGTCTGAAATAATTCTGAGCCACTCAACTATTTACACATCCTCCAACAATGAGGTCAACATACACACACATAAACACTCATAAATAATTCTGACCATGCTGTTCCAAACCCAGGAGCCTTCAGCCACTGGTTCCACTGTTCCCACCAGATGTTGAACCTGGCTGCAGGTTTTAACAAGAGCATCAGTAAGGTCCAACACTGGTGTTGGGTGAGGAGGTCTGAATCGCAGTCTTTGTCGACTGGGGCTGGGGTCACGGCTCTGTGCAGCCCACTCAGGTTGTTCCATTGTTGAGGGTCTTCCCCAGATTTTACTGCTATAAAGTTCAAAGCTCCCCTTTAACTATCAGTGTGTGCTGTGCCATCAAGATTTCCTTTCTTTACAACTGAGGAGAGGGCTGTCCACATACTTTTGGAAATATAATATACTACTAACTGACAGAAGAGCATGTGATAGAGTAATATAATGTAAAGAGCGACCTCTAGTGGAAAACCTAATATCTGCAAACATCTTACAAATAACATAGAGAATGACATTAAATGGAAGCCAGATCAGTAACGTGATCATTATTAGCATTTGTAGTGCAACAATAAACATATAGAAAGCAACTATGATTACTTAACCTCATTAAAAATACACAATTTAAACTTTCTGTCAGTACATGAAGTTATATTTTTGGTGGCAATTGTTGTGGGGGTGACTGTGGTTCAGTGGGTAGAGCAGTAATCTCCTAACCGGAGGGTCGGTGATTCAAATCTCAGTGTCTGCAGTCCATGTGTCAAAGTGTCCTTGGGCAAGACACTGAACCCCCAAGTTGCCCCCAATGGTTAGAGTCATCGGTTGAGTTTGCGCAGCAGATGGCTGCCTGAGTTCTGTACCGGAAACAAGTTCCTTGTGTGTGTAACATACTTGGCCAAATAAAGGTGATTATTATTATTATTATTATTATTTCAGACCTACAACAGTGACATAACATGAACTAACTGCATTAGCACTGCCACATTCTGATAAACTTGTGCTTACTTTTCAAAGCTTTGCCTACAAATATTTAAACAATATCTGAAAGTATAACATTTTGTCAGATATGTCAGAGGCAGCTGAAAAACCTGAGCTGTTTTCTGTTCAGTGCAGTAACCTACATCTACATATATGTACATATCTCAGCAGAGTTTCCAATGGGACCATGCAGCTGAAGTCCAGCATAGAGAGGCTGAGTGAATGTGATCTGGAATCTGTGGAGGAGAGTCATGGTTTCAGAAACACTGTAGAAGGACAGAATACCTGCACTGTGATCCAGGTACACTCCTACTCTGGAGGACTCTCCACTCCACCTCCCAGTAACAACGTTCAGTCAGACTCTCACTGCTCAGGACCTGAAAACGTGGACTGAGTCTGTCTGGGTGACTAGGATAAGACTGCTCCGTATTCATTAATGTTGCTTTTCTGTTGCCCTCAGATAATAACAGATGTGTGTTTGCTGTGTTTGGATCAAGTGTGATTTCTTGTGCATATTTTAAGAATCCAGCTCTGGTCTCAGGCTCTGGTAGTGGATCTGACAGTAAAACATCCACTTCAGCCAGTGTCATTGAGATGTTTGTCCATGTCTCCCTCAGAACGTCCTGTAGTTTCTCTCTGATCTCTGACACAGCTGCTGTAACATCCTCAAAGTAGCTCAGAGGACGGATGTTGATGCTGGAGGTGTCTGTAAGTTCATCAAGTCGTGACAGTGACGGGTAGTTGCGTAGAAACAGGTTGTGATCCTCTGTGTGTGAGAGCTGCTCCAGACCAGCGTCTTTCCTCTTCAGCTCAGCGATCTCCTGCTCCAGCTTCTGCTGAAGCTCTTTGACTCGACTCACTTCAGTTTCCTGCTGGGATCTGATCTGCTGCATCACATCAGAGCGTCTTTTCTCCAAGAGACTGATCAGCTCAGTGAAGATCTCCTCACTGTGCTCCACTGCTTTATCAGCAGAGCGACTGATGGCCTCCACCTCTTGCTGAAGCACCTTCACATCTTTCTCTCTGTCCTGGATTCTCTGTTGGATTTGTTGTCGACTCCCCTCGAGCTCTCTCTGCCGTTTAGCCGTTTCTGCTGCAGCTGAGACTGTGTCGTGGCCTTTATGTTCATCCACAGAGCAGAGATAACAGATACACTGCTGATCAGTGCGGCAGAACATCTTCATCACCTCATCATGACGAGGGCACATGTTCTCCTGGAGCTTCTTGGAGGGCTCCACCAGCTTGTGTTTCTGTAACGGAGCTGCGTCATAGTGAGGCTGCAGGTGCTGTTCACAGTAAGAGGCCACACACACCAGACAGGACTTGAGGGCTTTCAGTTTCCTCCCAGTGCAGACATCACAGGCCACATCTTCAGCTCCAGCATAGCAGTGATCATCAGCAGCACCTTGGAGTCCAGTCTTCTTCAGCTCCTCCACTACATCTGCTAACATGGTGTTTTTCACCAGGACAGGCCTCGGTATGAAGCTTTGCCAACACTGAGGGCATCTGGGGGTCCTCCTCCCATCCCAGTGGGATTTTATACAGCTGATGCAGTAGTTATGCCCACAGGGAATAGTCACCGGATCCTTCAGTAGATCCAGGCAGATGGAACATGAAACTGTGTCCTGGTCCAGCTGAACTCCTTTCTGCGCCATTTCCCCTCTCTGTGGCAACGACTGTCTGAGTTTTGCTTTCTGATAAATGAAACTAGTTTGAACTCTGATCTACATGGCATGTGTTTCTGCAGTGAACGGGGCCTGTCAGCTCACGCCATGTTGGTTACACCCATCCTCAAACTGTAGATCTGAGCAGGAGGGAACCAGGAAACATGTGGACAGAGCGGAACAGCTTTGTGTGAGAGAAGAGGGAGGAGTTATCAGGCTGAGACCCAGGAAGAGGAGCGGTCTGACAGTAAGTGTTAGTTTCAATTGTGACCAGATCCAAAACAATCTTCTTTTTGTATCAGCGCTTGTACATTTCAATTTACAAGTGCAGATCACTGAAAGGGAGAGGAAGAAGTGAATGTTTGGACAAAGTAGAGCTCCCTGTGCTTAAGAACTGCACAACAAAGGAG